AAATAATTCACACTTTGTAACCAGGCATTTCGTAACCAGGAAATGAAGACTACTTAAGGAAGAAAATTTATTTATATTTATTAATATTAGCAACATGACAGAAATATGAAAAACTTCCAAATTGTATTAATTTTGGCTTGTGAAAGGAAGAACATGTAATAAACTGTTTAAGTTGTAGACATTAATGAATATTATAGATATGTTAATAAGATTAAATTAATGAAAAAAAATATATGAAAATATCACATAGAAAAGTGTCTGGCACATAGTAAGCATCATCGTGTCTGTTATAATTACTAAATTACTAACATTCACTTTGCAAGGTTCCAGATTTCCAAAGTATCACAAACCCAAATGACAATGACATCTATAAAGTCAAGCCAGTTCAAAGATTAAGCTATCATAGAAGCAAGAACCAATATTTTAAATATACGAAAAATAGATGTTGTCAATTTTGGTAACACTGAAATACCAAGATTGAACACCAGTTTATACAATTTTTCCTAAAGGGTTTCTAAGGCTAAATATGGAGAATAAAATGAACATTAAAATACTGCTGACTGAATAAATATACTGTATCTGTACTATTTAAGTTTGTAAATATCTGCTCTTTTAATAAAGCATAATAAAAGAATACCAAAATAAACAGATACCATTTAATAGAACCAAATGAAAAATTATTCAAATCATATTTTAAAATAATTACAGATATTAAATTTCTCTGATATAGAATACATGGTTGTAAATGATATCAAAATGGAGAATTTTTTTTTTTTGAGACAGAGTCTCACTCTGTCACCCAGGCTGGAGTGCAGTGGCATGATCTCAGCTCACTGCAACCTCCACCACTCAAATTCAAGCGATTCTCCTCCCTCAGCCCCCCGAGTAGCTGGGATTATAGGCACATATCACCATGCTCGGCTAATGTTTGTATTTGTAGTAGAGATGGGGTTTCACCATGTTGGCCAGGCTGGTCTCAAACTCCTGACCTTAGGTAATCCGTCTGCCTCAGCCTCCCAAAGTGCTGTGATTATAGGTGTTAGCCACCATGTCCTAGACCAAAATAGAGAATTTTTAAATAAAAGAGACAGTATCAAAATGTATTTTGTAAAAGAAATATTTATTATAATTCTATTAAGTTGTACTTTTCTAAGATACAGAATCAATTTATCTCAAAATAAGTTATTTTAAAAAGTGTCAGTTTCTGGCTAGGCATGGTGGCTGACACCTGTAATCCTAGATTATACATGATATATATTTAAAATATAACAACAGTTCAAAAATACTTTCTTCTTGTATTCTACAAAGTACCCCAAAATTCCTTAAGGATATAAACATATATCAGTTCATAGGGCTTAAAATAAAGCATTTCGCTAGTAAATTTCACTCAAAAATTGTTATCATGGTCAAATTACAGTTGAGGACAGACATAGGCTGTGTGCATTTTTAAAAATCATTTTAGAGTTGCTTTCCATGATAAAAGTTTTCCTTTCTCTTAGACTATGAAGTTCCCTTATGTAAATTAACTTATTTTAAATGGCCCTTCTGGCTGAGTGTGGTGGCTCAAGCCTGTAATCTCAGTATTTTAGGAGGCTGGGGCCAGTAGATCATCTGAGGTCAGGAGTTTGAGACCACCCTGGCCAACATGGTGAAATCCCACCTCTACTAAAAATACAAAAATTAGTTGGGTGTGGTGGTTGGTGCCTGTAGTCCCAGCTACTGGGGAGGCTGTGGCAAAAGAATCACTTGACCTTGGGAGGCAGAGGCTGCAGGGAGCCGAGATTGTGCCACTACACTCCAGCCTGGGGAACTGAGCAAGATTCCGTCTCAAAAAAAAAAAAAAAAAAAAAAAAAAAAAAAATTAAATGGCCCTACTGTTGTAAAAGGCTTATAAAGAAGACTAAATATTCCTACTCTAGTTTCCTAAGAAACAATAAAAGTTGAGCAAGACATACAGAGTAAATCATTACGGTATGATTATCATTAACAAAATGCCACTCACGTAATCCTGATTTTCTATGACTTCACAGAAAAAAATACATACAATATTCTTTTTCTCCTATAGAATGAACTGACTCAAGATTCTGAAAAAATGCAAATGATTGTGTTCAGCGTTTTTGTACAGTGAATGTAAACAGTATGCTTATTTGTACAGCACGATAAATTGGATTAAGAGCTAATGTCCACATTTGTTTCAGATTTTTGAGCTTGATAAACATATATAAATAAAAAGTCAATTAAATCAGATTCATTTTCTTTGGCAGAATAACCATCAATACCACCACCAATGTATTCTTATTCCAACCATACAGAAAAGTAGACTGAGGGAATTCTAACATTTTTAAATAAATTCCTATAACTCTTACGTAAAATTTCCATGTAATATTCATGTTGTCATCCAACAATGTATTTTAAGCTGAGTCATTTATTTCCTGATCTTTCAAAAGACTGCAAAATTTGAATGCTAATTTTCAGTAGACCAATGTAACACCTGTTGAAAGACCATTAATTCAAATCAAAAAAGAATTTTAAAAAGCTCTGACCTACAAAAAACACTGACTTTTTAGGACGCATAGGAATAGGATATATCTTAGCTAACTGGAATGCGATGCTTACGTTAAGGTTACTTGGATGCACTTTATAGGTACTATATCCCAAAACAGATTCTGCCATCATTATTCTGAGAAATATTATTCTGAATTAAGCTTAATGAACAAATTATGGAAATATAAGAGATTTGGGCTGAATATCCCTTGAAATTAATTATCATTTGCTTCATTCTCCTAAATGTAGGGAATAAGAGATGCTAGTTAGCTGAGTTTTAACAAATTGGTACTTTACTAGGATAGTAATTCCTCTCAGCATAAAAATCTCAGGACTCTGGTTGCATGTATATGAGCATAATTAATTTTAAAAATCAGGTAGATCAAGTAGATCAGGACCCAAATCTCCTGAACAGTATAGGTTCAGGAATACCTATTAGACCTTCTCCCTGCATCGTTTAAGCTACTCATTTGTAGCTATTAATTGTAGAAATGAATAGTTTAAATGATGGGGGGAGAAGGTCTATGCGGTCTGTGATCAGGATAAGAGTTTAGAGAAGTTTCCCAGTTTGCAATTAAGTTTTAAGATTTAGTGGAGTGGCTGTCAATCTAAAATTTATTTGCAACTATGAGTCACAGATCATATTAAAGACAGAGGCCAGCTCAAATATAAATAAGGTATAAAAGAAACATAAAAGAATGCCATATAAAGTACTTTAAATATTAAATGTACAGGCAAATTATGTATAAAATATGAACAGGCCAGTTGTGGTGGCTCACACCTGTAATCCCAACACTTTGGGAGGCTGAGGAGGGAGGATCACTTGAGCCCAGGAGTTTGAGACTAGCTTCAACAACATGGCAAAACCCATCTCTACTAAAAATATAAAAATTAGCCATACATGTTTGCAAATGGCTGTAGACCCTGCTACTAGGGAGGCTGAAGTAGGAACATCCCTTGAGCTTGGGAGGTCGAGGCTGCAGTGAGCCTTGATTGTGCCACTGCACTCCCACCTGGGTGACAGAGTGAGACCCATCTCAAAAAAAAGAAAAAAGAAAAACCAGAAAAGTTTAAGGTCCAAAATTCTACACTTTGGCTCATAATACAAATGTTCTCTAAGTCCCAGCTATAGTGTTTTATATATCTAACAATTTTAACTATCATTTATTTAATATATATTATGCACCAGAGATAGTGCTGGGTCCATATTATGTACACATAATCTCATTTTAAGAACCTGATGACACTTATGCAAAAGTAAGCGTTGTCAGTGTTTAACAAAAGGAAGGAAGGAGGTTCAAAATGTAACTACAACTAAAAAGAAGAACCAGAGTGTGGATTCACAAAGATCTGACTTCAAAATCTAGAAATTTTCTACAATACCACTTTGCTCTCTATAAAACTAAATAGAGTCAATCTCCTTCCCATTGTGGATTCCATATTTGCAAATATGCCTACTTGCTAAAATTTATTTGTAACCCCAAAATGTAGTCATTCAGTGACATGTGCAGAGCAGTGAAAAATGTGACGTGAGTTACCTGATACACATGTGCATTCCTAACACAGGTTAACGAGGTGACTTTCTTCCTAATTGTTTAAGCTATCATACTGTAAACACATGTCATATTTGTAATCTAAATTAGTAACAGATTGTGTTTGTATTTCTGTGATTTTTGTGGGTGATTATTCTGTTTTAAATAGCCCCAAGAAGAGTGCTGAGAAGTGCTGTCTACTGCTTCTAAGTGCAAGAAGACTGAGATGTGCCTTATAGAGAAAACACTTGACAGATAATCTTTGTTCAGAAATAAGTTACAGTGCTATCGGCCATGAGTTCAATGTTAATACGTCAACAATATATACTAAATGTCTTTAAACACAAACATACACAAGACAAGGTTATCTACTGATCAGCTGGTGAAAATGTTATGACCAGAGGCTCATAGGAACCTAACCCTGTCTTTCCCTTAGGAGCCATGATTCAGTATTCTCGAATTCAGTGTTTACAGCAAAATGGCAAAGAGTGAGAATCAACTCTAATACAATGGAAAACTTTCCCCCCAAAAAATGTTTAGATTGATATTTCAGTAGAAGATTCTCCTTCTGTCATTTCCTTCAAAGATATTACATCATTATACTTGTGCAGTCATCACTCATTTGCTTAAGGAATATTTTGTTGGCATTCTGTTTAATGGGTTGCAACTCCATGTGCTTGACTTTGCTCAGAAAATTAATCTCTCTTAAAAGCAATCTGGCTTTCCAGTGTGAAGGTCTAAGGCAATTAAATTTCACTTCTTACTACCAGATGTCATGAGTACTGTGTAAAGATGACTGTTTTGTGAGATTATGATTTTTAAAACTAGATATTACAGTTATATGTAATATAAATAACATAAGCAAGAGCAACAACAAAAACTTAGCAAAGGAAATCAGAGAAATATCAGCACAAATTGGAACTCTTACCTTTCTTGCCCAAGTCAGAGATTTTATTGAAAAAAAAAAAAATTACAGTACTTAAAAATCCAAACAAGGACAATTCAGGGTTGAAAGAAAGAAAACCCGAAGGAGTCTATTATCTTCAGTAAAATTTTAAATACAAAAAACATAGACCAGAAAAACAGTTTATGGCCTAATGCACTAGTTCCATGATAAACACACATATATAGTATATCTCCATCAAGTGGAAACTTAATCACCTTTTTACAATTTAGAGAGGGAAGGCAGCTTTTAGTATGGTTAAGCCATGTATCATCAATACCATGAAGCTAGCCTATCAGTTGTAATAGCTTCTATAAAATACCACAGTGAGATTGCAATAAGCCTAGAAAATGGGCTACAAATCCCAGCTATGCTCAAGCAAGCAGTGAACCAAAAATAAAAATAGGTAAAACTGAACCAAGAACTAGATAGCATTCATCGAGATTCATGATTGATAAGGCAAAGTTCATAGGCTAAGGTTGTAAAGTGACTTATTCAGATCTAAAAGACAATCATACAAAATAAAACAAAAGCATTTATGTAATTCAGAAAAAAACATGAATTTTCACTCCAAAGACATAGCACAGAAAAGCTTACTTACAATTATCAACACCACACTATTGTACCTTTAAATATCACTTTAAATATGCAAAGGTGAAGAGACTCAAAGTTGCATTTTATCATTTTTAATCTCTCCATATTAGACAAGCAGTCTAAAAGGAGATGTCACACATTCCTGCTTCATGCATTTGCTGAAATAGTCCAGACTTTAAAAATTTTAGGTAAAGACAATGGCAACTTAAAGTTTCCTTTCCAATCATATTTAAGTTAAATGCTGAATTAACAATTAATCCATACAATAATATAAAAATACACATATTAAATCACATTGTTTTTCATTATTGAAGCTTAATAAAAATATCATTTTAATATAACCATTTTGAAGAACTCAAATGGTCTGAACTTACTATAGTGTCTAAATTATACCATCAACAGAAACATTACATTTCCCCCCGCTTGGTGAAAATGAGCTCATGCAAGTATTTCTGACACTCACAGTGACACATATGGTCTGCCATTCTAAAGATGTACAAGCAGCTCTCACTTTTAAACATGATGATATGATTCAGAATCACACAGTATTTGTTAAAAATACCAGCTTTCACATGTTTCATTAAGCTCTAAACCAAAATAATAATTTTCACGTGTTTCAGGTATCAGACAAAGCAGATAATTTAAAAGGTAAATGATTGTACTAGTGCAGACTAGTTATCACTGTGGCTAATTTAGAAAGAGGATGATTTTTGCAGTACAATGAAAACTATACTATAAAATACAATGAGTTTGCAATACAGAGCAGATTACCCAAGTAGAAAGTAAGCTGAACAAAATACAAACTCCAGCAAAGATTATCAACCTTACCTACTACTCATCATAGCCCTTGTTAAAATACCCTGAGTAAAATGCAAATATTTTAAATAACGCTGGTTATATAAGACTTCTCTAAAAATGAACCATAAATGTCAATGCATCACGATTTTTATTTACAACAGTCAGATATGAAAAATTAATTCTTAATCAGTCACAATATAAACATTAAGGAATACTTGTTAGATTGGGAAGTTTTAAATTTCTAGCTTTGTTAGCATTTTGGCAAAGCAAGTATACATAAATAGATTCAATGTAAAAAAAATCATAAAAGAGAAAAATATATAAAATGTACAGTAGTTTCTATCCACCCTGGGCCAACCTAAATGCCTAGAAAGCCTCCCCAGTCAGGTTCACTTCTGACTAAAAGGAAGAATACCAGTCCTCCAGCAAAAACAGCCCCATCTTTTCATCAAAGAGGCTCTCACTTCAGTGATATTCCTCCAGGGAAGAGGACAGGAGCCAGGTTCCCTCGAATGTCATTCCCCAGATGTTCAAAACGTAACTAATTTATTAGCATTAGAAGATTTGGTTTATAGGGGAATCTCACTGGTCCAGTTTGTAGCCTACAAAAAAATGGATTATTTTTAAGTATAACATTAGAATATGAATAAAGGATGAGGATGTGGCTTTTTATTCCATAGAAATGGAAACATTTCCAAACATGACAATTACACAAAAAAAGTATGCCTACCATTGAAGTTGGAGTCCCTCCAGATTTTTTAATATTCTTTGAAGACATTCCATGAAGGCGACTGAGTCTAGCTTGGAAACCTGGAAAATCAAAGTACTCAATTTAGAAGATTCTATGATCGCTGGAGCATAGAAGATGATCTATCAATAGAGAATGAAAAGTTAGTTGGTAGTGGCGGTGAATGCCATGAATATTATTGGGGAAAATGCAAAACTCACACTTTAAAAAAATTGAAGCAATGCCTTGCAAAGTACTAATGCAGTCAGCACTTAACTATCCAGTGTTTGAACACTAGAGTAATAAATATCCAGGCCATTTCTTTTGTTCCAATTCACATTCCTATCATTTCAACATTTTCTCCATGAGCCTAGCAAGAAAGCAAGTCAATTTTTCTACTAATTTGGAAGCATGATAAATGTAGTAGCTGTATTAGCGGCCAATATGTTTCTTTCCAGTGTCTTGTGTTTACATTCTCTAATTTCCACTTCATCTTATCCTCTTTAAATGAATATTCCTAGATTGATCTTAAACCCATTGTATCTACCCAGGAGCCAGAGCTACTGACCTCTTCTGCTTGGATGCGACATAAGGGGAAAAGAACCAGTTAAGATACTTTCAAAGACAGGATCTGGTAAATTTTTGTCTAGCTCAGTAGGATCTTCCTTTTCCCACCAGGGCACAACTCCAGTGATACCACATGCTCCACCTGACTCCTTTTCGTAGAACCAGTCACTCTGTTCGTCATCACCTGTGCAAATACAAGAAACCCCCACCACCAAAGATTCAGTTTTATCATCCAGTTACACATTAGTGTTGTCAGGTAGTAAAAAATACAAGATGGCAGTTAAATTTGAAATTAAGATCAATGACTAACTTTTACTACAAATATATAGTATTTGCACTAAATTTTTAGTGTAAGTATGTCTAAGTACTGCATGGGAAATACGTGTTCTAAAAAATTGTGTGTTATTTACCTAAAATTTAAATCGGGGATCCTATGTTTTGACAATTGCATATATAATTTATAAGAAAAACTTTTTATTTTATAACACAGCTTCACTTAAGAAATGTTCTCTTAAGACTGTAAGAACTCCATCAACAAAAACGCAAAGTATTATGTTTTAGAACCAATTTTAAAACATGAAAAACAATAATTAACTGGTTAATCCTTTGGCAAAATCTATTGGAAAATCCACTTAAGTTACTACCCCTTCCACATTAAGAAAAAACAAACCTTAATCTGCTCCCGGGAATTAAAAAGTATTAAAACTGTGGAACCCTTTCTTTGCAGCCGATATGGGTACATAATTAGCTTAATTGCATGATTTGTATGGCGTGTAAAAGGGGAAACAATGATGAACAGATGTGACTAAATGAAATTAATCCAATTAAGCTCATTAAGAAATAGTTTTGAAAAAGTTGATTTTAAATGAAAAGTGACAATACCTTAGAGTTTATGAAGAAACTAAATTGAATAAGAGATATTTTTGCCCAGCACTATCCAGTAATTCTGACTTTTTGGAACATACATGAGTGTAACCATGGAACAATAAATGATCAATTGAAAATTCAGTTTGAAATGTGTCATCAGTGAGAATCAGTATTTTGTTTTTTGAAAAAAAAAGTAGTTATGAAGAGCTGTATAAAGAGACAAAAATACAAAAGACGGGTGGCTTTTAAAAGAAAGAGAGATAGGCCAGGCATGATGGCTCATGGGTATAATCCCAGTGCTTTGAGAGGCCAGAGTGGGAGGATCACTTGAGATCAGGAGTTCCATATGAACTTGGGCAAGATAGTGAGACCCTGTTTCTACAAAAAGATTAGAAATTAGCCGGGCATGGTGACATGCACCTGTAGTCCTAGCTACGGGAGTCTGAGGCAGGAGGACCCCTTGAGACCAGCAGTTTGAGGTTACAGTGAGCTATGATCGCACCACGGCACTCCAGCCTGGACGACAGGGTGAGACCTTGTCTTAAAAACAAAAAAGAGAAAAGAAAAGAAAAACAGAAAGACACAAATAGCATTTTGAAGATGATCTGAAATTCATTAAAGTATCCTCCCCTTGATTATAAAAAGCCACCACTAATTCTGGTTTCTAAGAGAGTCAGCACAATTGTCATAAACTTCTTTTGTTTAGAGAAAGATAATTTCTGATTTCTAAAATATCTTACAACAAACATATTTAAAGGAAAACTGAAAATACTCTTAAGCTTCAGTTGAAAATAATTTTATGAGAAACAACTAAATTTCAACTAAGAAGGAATGGAAAATTAAAGGCATTTCAAAAACTAGAGTCACTAGAGCTTGTTTCTACTGGGAAATTAATTTAAAAAATAATTTTTCAAAAAACACAATTAACAGTACTTAGAGATCAGGACTTTTACTGAGCTTTATATTAAAAATATACAGATCAGGTTTCAGAATAAGAAAAAACCAGTCCTCACTTGAAACTGACTACCATATATCTGAATTCCAACATTATTATAGAAAAATAAAAAATTTTTTTGATGTGATACACAACTTTATTCTTCAATAGGGAAATCAAATAGTCACTGAATAAGAACTTCCTGTGAAGTCAGACAGACCAATTAGAATTCCTGTGTTCTCTGGTATCAGGAAAGTTACTTCAACTCTATTAGCGTCAGTATCTTCATTTAAAAAAAATTGGGAATCTCAAAGGGATTGTTAAGAATTAATTAAGAACTTAAAGGCAAGAAAAGCGCTTAGCAATGTGAAATATAGTAAGTTTACAATCAATGCTAGCATAGCATTCTAAGCCCTTCCACACTTATCCAAGATTGACAGCCTTGTCAAGGTTGTTTTTTTACTTTTTTCATTTCATTACCAATATCAACATTTATAATACAATCTTGAGTAAAGACCTGTATTTTAATGAGAATTTAAGTATATTATCAAGGTAGTTCACTTTCCCATTTAGCCCGAGCATTTTAACGTATTTCAGCAAAGTCTCGACTTTAAAGCCTATGGTCTTTCAAATAGTTATGTACCTATTTATCTAGGACAAATAGTTTACAAATAGGCAAAAAAGAATGATCACTTCATTTACATTTACTGTGCTGCCAAGAGGATGAGCAGACTAAGGAAAAAAGTGTACGCGGCAATTACTTTGTCCTTTTTTATAACATCATTAAATAAATTTTTAATTTAAAATTTTTATTAGTTTTTTTCACTTGTAACTTACTGTCTTCCTCCAATGTGTTCTTAAGGAAGAGAACATTTGTGATAGGTATTTGTATATATTAATTGCATGATTTGTTTGGAGTATAAAAGGGGAAACAATTCAGAGCAGATGCGACTAAATGAAATTAATCCTATTAAGGATTAATCCTGTCCCCTTATGAAGGTTTTCTTATTTTTCATAGCTTCAAAATACTGCCATGTTAAAGACTGAAGCTTCCAGAAGTTTCAAAGATGGAAAACATATACGACGTAAGACATTTCTGTTTAACAGTTTACATTATTGAATTCATAAAAATCATCTAATTACTTACAAACTGGATAGAATGAATAAATGTCACAGCTGAATAAAAATGACAAATGACTTGCAAATCCACCTTTATGAATGCTTAAACAGTTTTAAGTACAGTTGGAATTAGGTAGAGAATGAGAACCAGTTTCTTTCAAACTTGCTAAATGAGAGAAAATCAAAAAGGTACGTAAAGCTTTCTCAAACAAGATAATCCTCCCTTAATATTATTAGCTCCACATACTAGCTTTTGGAGATAACCAATTACTTTAGGTCATGAAGACAGGACACCTTCCACAGCATATAAAAAACCAGCTGCAATACTAAATTCTAGTGCACTAAGTAATGGGTGTAAGGTAAACGGATTGCAGTCATCAACTCATGAAATAACCAGTAATAAACACAACTTTAGAATGAAGAAGTTTTTCCAAAGAGAGAAGAAAAATATCATTTCAGTACCTTGTCTTCCCTCATCATTGGTAAACAATCCAGCATCAGTGCTGCTGAGACTGCTGGAATCACTGTAATAACGAAAAAGAAAGAAACAGATCAAAAGAACAATTGATCTTTCAGTCGTAAAATTTTAAAGAGACATGGCAGCTCAGAGATGGAACTTAAGCCTGACAAAGATCTGAAAGAAAAGAAGATGATTCTTTTTAATCAAACTGCAAATATCCTGTTTCCATTAACTACAGAGCATATTATTTTTGGCACATAAAACCACAGGAATCTAATGGGACCCTGACAGTAAGCCAGATGTGACTGCAACGAGGTGCTGACACAATTGATGCATTTTATTACGTGCTTTCATCAAATGCTCACTGCTCCTTTCTTATGCCATGCAATTCAGCTTGAGCCTGGAACACACTGCTCAATAAAACGGGAAAGTTTCAATCAAAAGCAGGCTAAGCCTTTCTTCAGCACATGAAATACAAGGGACTAGGATGAGATTACTTTCCATAACCACATTTGCAAATATTCTGAAAAAGACATTACTTAAGAATTCACAACAGCTCTATTAGTTTGCAAAGAAGAAAAAAGTTTAAAACAGTGATAACGCATTATATCTGTTAAGGTCACTTTTAAGCAAAAAAAAAAAAAATGAATATTACAAATATTAAGGAAGGAGTATCCAAAAATAACACAGGTTCTCACTGCTTCCACAGAAGGCCCAGAGTCAAATTTAACATACAAATAAAAGAAACAGCAGATATTTCAATGACATAAACAAATTGTTAATATTAGTTCTAACAGAAGTAATGCTTATATAATTGTCTAGTTTAAAATACCAGGAGAACAAGGTCATATAATGAGAGGCTTAGCTTTTAAAGAAAATTGAGTGATGTTCTTTGAAAATTCTCATGTATTTCATTTTTATTGTAATTCTTAATTTTAACCAATCAGGAAATCATCCCTTTTTTAAATTAAAATACTTATTCCATTAATATGTAGAACTACATAACCTTATTTTTTAAAAAGACATCCTAACTTGTTTTAAAGTATCTAAATTGAGAAGTTTAGGATTAAAATTATAGATGAACTAAATCCACATACATTTTCTGAATATAATTTGTTTTTGTTCCATTTTTTAAAAGCTAAATATTAATGAATATGGGAATTTGTTAAGAGGCACATTTTTCTAAGGAGTTCTGAATTTAGACCTCTTTCTAGCTTTCTTCCAAATTAGCTGCATGTATGAAGCTCCCTATGTTGAAAAAAATATTTTCTAAGCGCATCACAACCAAATTTTCTTATTTACAAATGTATGTGCTCTTCTCTGCACCATAGTGTGAGATTATTAAAATCACCTCACAATCTTTATCTTGCTGACATTTTGCTGTCTAAACTATTACTGATACTTTCCTTTTTCCTGTGTGCCCCCATTAATACAACTCAAATGAAGGGCCTCATATGCCTCAGGTCACATTTCCTTTTCTGAAACCCTTGAGGCAAATGTATTTAAAATTCTGAATTATTCAAATTTTAGCAAGGTATATTCTAAACTGCCTCAGAGGAGTCTGGGATAGTACTCCATTAACCACATTAATATATTTTTTCAATGAAATGAAAAAATAACCACTTTAAGTGCAAGTCAAATTAAATCTGGCCACAAATGAATTTGTTTTTCATAGCTTTTCAGAGTTCAGATTTGCAGACAATGCATTATGAATTGATGTGCTTTTTTATGGACCTCGATCTCCTAATCTGAATTCAGATTTACTCTTCTCTAATCTATTCTCATATACCCAGGTTCATCTTTTCAAAATAAAACAAGTTGACTAAAAATAATGTGATATTCTGATACGAAAAAAGGACATTAAAAGCAAAGGAAATTCTAATAAACTATGAACTTTACTTACAAATGTATCAATTTTTGTTTCATTAATTGTGAGAGAGGAACTATAGTAATATAGGATATTAACAATAGGGGAAAGTGGATTTGGGGTATACAGAAATGTGATATACATGAACTCTCTGAGCTATCTTTACCACTTTTCTGTAAATTTATATCTATTCCAAAGAAAGTAGTTGATAAAGTATGCACACACACATACACACACGTGTACCCTATAGGACAGTCTTCTTTTTTTTTTTGAGACGGAGTTTCGCTCTTGCTACCCAGGCTGGAGTGCAATGGCGCGATCTCGGCTCACCGCAACCTCCGCCTCCTGGGTTCAGGCAATTCTCCTGCCTCAGCCTCCCGAGTAGCTGGGATTACAGGCACGCATCACCACGCCCAGCTAATTTTTTGTATTTTTAGTAGAGACGGGGTTTCACCATGTTGACCAGGATGGTCTCGATCTCTTGACCTCGTGATCCACCCGCCTCGGCCTCCCAAAGTGCTGGGATTACAGGCTTGGGCCATCGCGCCCGGCCATAGGCCATAGGGCAGTCTTCTATTAAAAATCTAGGGCCGGGCGCGGTGGCTCAAGCCTGTAATCCCAGCACTTTGGGAGGCCGAAGCGGGTGGATCACGAGGTCAAGAGATCAGACCATCTTGGTCAACATGGTGAAACCCCGTCTCTACTAATAATACAAAAAATTAGCTGGGCGTGGTGGTGCGTGCCTGTAATCCCAGCTACTCGGGAGGCTGAGGCAGGAGAATCGCCTGAACCCAGGAGGCGGAGGTTGCGGTGAGCCGAGATCGCGCCATTGCACTCCAGCCTGGGTAGCAAGAGCGAAACTCCGTCTCAAAAAAAAAAAAATCTAAAATTACTTCCTCAGCACTTGCTGAATAAAATTTAGATTTCAAGACTTTCTATGGATAGGCCCCATCTAAATTCTTCTCATTCCCATCTCTGGTCCTTTTGTTTATGTTCTTTTCCCAGTGGTATGCCTATCTCCACTCTCTTCCCTCTTCACCTGCCCTGTCTCTTAAAGATACTAAGGAAATCAGAATAACCCTCTCCTCCAGTTCTTAGTCCTTAATGATCCTCGTCCTACTTTGAGGTACTCTGGCATATATGTATACAACATGTTTCTGTATTTACATTTCACCTCATTGATATCTAGCAAGTTGCTCCATGTACATTATGTACGTGTTTCTATGTACAATAAATCTGAAAAAAAAACTTAAATAGAAGCAAGGCTTTTTATTTTCAGCAGCTGACAGTCGTTATACCCTTTCCTTGGAGATCCACCTTTTTGGAGTGAATTTTATAACACCACTGTGTTTGGATGAGAATATATTCCATACAGGCTGGATGAACAAATATATGTACACTAATACCAATCACTTACCCCAATTTGTTCAATTCCTATATTTTCAGTAGAGTCCTCTTTCTTATTCATCCTCCCAAATACAGTCAGTCAACTTCCCACTGATTTGAATTATTAAAAGTGGTCTCAAATACTTATTTCCCTCTGCTATCATAGCCATAATTCATCTCCCACTTAAGCACCGACTGGAGGTCAAAGGTAAACAAAATACAGCTGTAAAGATCACACTATCTCGGTAAAATGTAAATCAACTTGAGTTTCTTCACTCCTAAAAATTCTTCACTGATCCCACTGACTATGATAAAATCCAAACTATTTGCCATAGCACATAGACCTTTGAAAAATGCTTTTTTGCTGTAATTCTGATCGCATTTTATTTCTTCCCCAAACAGACCACTTTCATTTCAATATTCATGCCTTTGCACAAGCTGTTCATTCCCTACCTATGAATGCCATTTCCCTCTCGACTCCTTCCATTCCTGAACAAGACTTAGTGCTTGCTTTAAAGCAAAGCTCCTCTAGGAAGTCTTCCCTCACTAGTACTTTCCATTCAGCACATTTCATTTTCATTATTTGCTTGTCTCGCTATTCCACACTATGCAGCTCTTGAGGACAGAGGCTCCATTATTACTCCAGGCCTTCTAAGGTGCTGGGATTACAGGCATAAGCCACCTTGCCCGGCCTCAAATACTTTTTACCATAAAAATAAATGAAAAATGGGAGTTTGATCTAATTTCCATTACCAGTTACATGTCCTATAAAAAAGCAGATCAATAAAAGCAGAAAATAAAAAAAGGAGGGGGGGTAGAGGCTTGCACAATCAACTCAAAAAGCAGGTAATCTAATTGTGAATAATCCAGAATTGAGTATGTTATATCTGTTGCCATACACTCTCCCTCCTGATAACTGAACCAATCACTTTCAAGAAAGGTTAAGTGGTCCTAAGTAATAAAACAAATAATACTTATTTTCATATAAAAATGGCAATTTTCTTGCCAGAAAGACACATACCATGTCTTTTCAAAGCCTTCTGGAAACTTTTCTTTTCTTTTTTTTTTTTTTTGAGATGAAGTCTTGCTCTGTTGCAATGGCAGGATCTTGGCTCACTTCAACTCCGCCTCCCAGGTTCAAGTGATTCTCCTGTCTCAGCCTCCCCAGTAGCTGGGACTACAGGTGCACACCACCACGCCTGGCTAATTTTGTATTTTAGTAGAGATGGAGTTTCACCATATTGGTTAGGCTGGTCTCAAACTCCTGACCTCAGGTGATCCACTCGCCTCAGCCTACCAAAGTGCTGGGATTAAAGGTGTGAGCCACCACAGTCAGACAAATATTTTTAATGTAAGTAATTTTTACTTCTTTAGAAAAATTATATAACTAGCAAACCATGTCTAATAAAAGGATAATTCCATAAACTTTTACCAGGTCCCACTCACATTTACAAACAAACAAACAAAAAATTAAAAAAAAAAGAAGATTGATAGCTCACTACAATCCACATGATTACAATGATCCCAGCCCTTGGGAGGCCAAAGCAGGTAGATCCCTTGAGGTCAGGAGTTTGAGGTCAGCCTGGCCAACATGGTAAATCCCATCTCTACTAAAACTACAAAAAGATTAGCCAGGCGTGGTGGTGCACACTTGTAATCCCAGCTACAAAGGAGGCTGAGGCAGAAGAATCAATTGAACTCAGGAGTTGAGGTTGCAGTGAGCTGATATCACACCACTGCACTCCAGCCTGGGAAACAGAGTGAGTCTCTGTCACAAAAAAAAATAAAAAAGATCCCAGCCCCATAAAAAAAAAATTAAAAATCAAATACTCTTTCCCCCAGACCAGACCATATTTATAGACTGTTTTTTTCTGATTCGTAGTTCAGCATTTGGTTTTGCAGACCCAGGCCTAAAAGGATAAAGTGTTAATACATTCTAATTTCTTGCAAGTAGCATCACTTTATCACTTCTGTATAAAAGAAAAATGATCACTTACCTTTTGATGCTGTCAAGACAGTACTTAACAATGATCACTGTAGTATACCTGCTTCCTAGAACAGACAGATTAGACTAACTACCACAGGATCACTGTTTTTCCATTTTTCTAATGACAAAACCAGGTTTTTGTAGACTATAAATTGGGTTTTACAATTCATAAGTGATTAGAATTCCTAGCAAGCTACAGATTTTTAATAATATCAAGCCACATACATGTTGAAGTGGTATGAACTTTTGATTCTCAAGAATCAGAATAGCCTAATGAATTGTGACACTTAAAAAGCACCAAAAATGAAAGCTCTATAATTAAACATATAAATAATTATATATCCAATTTGGAGTTACAAACGTGCTGTTATTCAAAAGCACATTTTTCCCCCTGAAAATCCATTTCCTTTTCTCTTTGTAGCTGAAAAGTCATTATAATACAATCAAAAACTTAGTGTAAATCAAATAAGCAATTTTGCTTTATGCTAAACATCATAAATTATAAGGAAATATAACCATAGTTAAACAGTAATATCATTATCATTACTTTAATTTATAATTATTTTTAAATAGAATTAATTAAAATATAAAACATTCAACCACAAACACTGGAGATAAATATTTTTATATTTAGAGAATATAAAAGTCACCTTTCACTCATGAGCTCATCTGAAACTTTTTGCTCTTCACATTCCATTTTGTCTTTATTGGCCTGGCTCGTTTCCTCACTTTCTAAAACTACTCCTTCATCTTGGATTTTTGGTCCTTGTCTGATTATTTTCAACTTCCTCTTTTTGACTTTGTTCTTGGTAAATTCTTGATACTGGTAAGCTCTATCACTGTCCATGTCCTGATCTCTACAGCCTTCAGGTGGCTGGGTCATTGTCCGTTTGTTAGAGATGTCCTGTGGGAGATCGATTGCCATGCGTTTTACCTTTCTCCTCCTGCGCAGAGTTCTGTTCCCAACATTGTCCACAGCAAAATCAGACTCGTGCCATAAAGGTCTTTTCCCTCGAACATTATTATTTAAGTTTGATGATGGCCTACGCTTTGCCACTAACATTTGGTCATCAGAGTCACTGTGATCTTTTTTATTATTATTGTGATTCTCTCTATAGTCCTTGCTTGGTTCTTCTAAACTAGAATCAGAGCCTTCACTTAAGCAGTGACCAGTCTCCCATGGGTGATGCACGTTATATGACCTCCGTTTTCTCCCTCTCCTTTTCCTTGCCTGGCGTTTTAGAGGGCAAGATATACTTCGAGAATGGTCTCCTGTTTCAGCAAATCCACCTCGAGCTTGTTCTGAGCTCTCTTCCAATGCTGAGACAAGGTCGTGAACCAGTTCCTCCATGGTTCTACTGAAATGCCTTCATTTATTAGAGAAAGAAAAAAGAAAATAGTCAATCTTAACCATAGTAACCTCGTTTTCTACAACAGACAATACATTCTAAGTTTGGTAAAAATTAATAATGATTATAAAATGTTTCAAAGCTAATTTTCCTATCCAAGATATTACAGTTTTAAATATTGATTCATTGTAGGCCTCTTCTTATATAAGTTCTTTTATTAAAACATAGGAATTACTTCCAAGATAGAATAAGCTTATGAGCAATGAAAGATCCCAGTATTTTTATACTTTTACTGTACAATTATGGAAAAGTTCTGTTTAAATCCCTATCCACTGGTCCCTCCTATCCCTTTTCTAGAGCCAGTTTACCCACAGCAGATACAGAAAGAACTTTCTCAGTACCCTCTTAGCCCACTAATCTCTAAGTAAAAAAAAGAAACATGAAATCTTTTATTCACCACGCTTACCAGTCACTGCCATCATATAAGAGGGAGTCAGAAAGACAACAGCTAGTTTCAGGATTAGTAATATATGTGAAAAGCAAGTTTAACCAACACCATGCATTTATTTAGGCCACACTAATCTCTTAAACCAGTGAAGCAGAAACTACATTCACATTCAAAGTGGAGCCTCACTGGTATAAAAGGGCCCATCATTACTTCATTCTGAAGCAATCTCTTAGACTTTCCTTTTTAAAAAGCTTTAAACTATATTACCAGTAAGAATATCATCCAGTAGTCAGCAAGGATAAGCATCAGCATTCTTTGGGAATTTTTATAAATTATACTTGTCCTTTTAAAACCCAGTTCCCAAAGATTTTAAATTAGTCGCTGTGACATACAGCCAAGGTATCTGGTTTTATTTTTTAATCATCACAGGTAATTCAGATATGCACCTTTCTTATGAAGGCCACAGGCAATCATTTCTCAAATTGAGATCTAGAGGCACCTAGGGATTGAAACATTCTCAACAGTCATACAGAGCTTCAGGAGTTGGCACACTTTCATGCAAAGGGCCTGACGTAAATATTCTAGGTTTTGCAGGCCATTGGGTCTCCCACAACTACTCAACTTGCCATGTAATGCAGAAATAGCCACAAGCAATACATAAATAAATGGGTATGGCTGTGTCTAATAAAGTTTTATTTATAAAATTAGGTTAAAGCTGGTTATAGTTGCTGACCTGTGGTCTATATAGTCTCTACAGTCATGTAAAGTCTCCAGCAGTCTATAATTTCAGGCTTTTGCAAGTTCCTTGTAACAGCTTTCAACTTTTGTCTTTTCGTTTTAATAACCTAAAAACAACACACATTGTGATCCAATGGATTCACCATTTATAATATGATGCATATACACAGCTTCTAACATTTGAGTATTTACTATTTGCCAGGCCCATTTCTAAGTGTTTTATATGGATTACTTCATTTCATTCTCACACAATTTACAAAGACGGAGAGAATTCTGTCACAATGTGATGCATCTAAGTAGTGAAGACAGGATTCAAACTCCAGCCAATGTTGACTAAACTACAGCCAAGATCAGCTACACAATTCCAGTAGCCAGTCTGCAGTTTTGTTGGTGATTAATTTAGCACCAGGTAGTATTACTATAATCCTCAAGACAGATTTAATATACATCTATATGAAACTTAAATGACTCATAGTTAGCTATATTGTTTTGAATAAAAAAAGAGGTGAAAGACCTGAATGAACACAAGGGACAGGGTAGTATAGCTGCTGAAAGTAAACTGAGCTCAATGAACCAACCTTGTACTGGTTAGTAAAATGTACACCATGAACAATTAAGTAACATGGCATTGTGTTTCGGTTAATGTGAATTTGTATTTTCTAGATTTATCTCCCTGGGCATTCTGAATATATTTAATAAAAACAAAAAATCTAATATATACAGCTTTCTCAAATGTGGTGATTCAAATAACTATTTTAAATAAACTCTGGAGGGCCACTGAGATTTGTTTTTTTCCTTTGTAAGGGTACTACATACAACTCAGGGTTTGTTTGTTTGAGAAGGAATCTCGATCTGTCATCCAGGCTGGAGTGCAGTGGCAGGATCTCGGCTCACTGCAACTTCTACCTCCTGGGTTCAAGTGATTCTCCTGCCTCAGCCTCCTGAGTAGCTGGGATTACAGGCACAAGCTACTATGCTCAGCTAATTTTTGTATTTTTTAGTAGAGACAGGGTTTCACCTTGTTAGCCAAGCTGATCTCAAACTCTTGACCTCAAGTGATCCACCCTCCTCAGCCTGTCAATGCTGTGTTATAGGGGTGAGCCATCAAATCTAGCCCCACAACTCAGGATTTAGAATACTGATTTTGATTAAAAGATATATGTATCACATACAAATTAGCATTAAGCCAAACAAAACAAAGGCTCCAAATCTGACTACATTGATAAACCATATGGATCTTTTCTCTATTATCTATATGTTAACAAATTCCTTTTTCCGGCACTTTGGGAGGCCAAGGCAGGTGGATCACCTGAGGTTGGGAGTTCAAAACCAGCCTAACCAACATGGAGAAACCCCATCTATAATAAAAACACAAAATTAGCCAGGCATGGTTGCGCCTGCCTATTAATCCCAGCTACTGGGAGGAGAAAGGCTTGAACCCGGGAGATGGAGGTTGCAGTGAGCCGAGATTGTTCCACTGCACTCCAGCCTAGGCAACAAGAGCAAAAGCCCATCTCAAAAATAAAAATAAAAAAAAAAAATAAATATATATATATATATATACACACACATATATAGTTTGAAAGACCTATTATCTCTGAATATAATATTTGCACCTTAAAAAATTTACCTGAAGCCACTTTAACATGTATTAAAATCAAGATCCTTTCTCTGTATTACCTGGTTCTAGAGTAACTTACACTTTGAAGACAGAGTTTTCTTATCAAAGGGTGAATGACCAGATCAAAATAGTAAAAAAAATGAAATCAACTTGATGTATGAATATATTACCTAACTAAAATCAGTTTACTTTGGATATTACAATTTAGTGCTTTACTGTAGCAGAGAAAATTTATAGTACTAACATTAGAAAAAGGTTAGCACATCTGATTCAATCCATTGAAATCTGATACGCTTCAATTTCTATTACTAAGAAATTTCATTCTTAGCAATATTAGCAGTTATATATGCAAATATTCTCTAGAATCTTATTAAAACTGGGTCAGCCTTATTTGACTTTTTGCTGCTTCTCTCAAGAGAAAATAAAACATATTTTTAAGCCAGGCATGGTAGCTCACGCCTGTAATCCCAGCACTTTGGGAGGCTGAGGCAGGCGGATCACCTAGAGTCAGGAGTTTGAGACTAGCCTGGCCAGCATGGTGAAACCCCATCTCTACTAAAAATACAAAAGTTAGCCCAGCATGGTGGTGGGCGCCTGTAATCCCAGCTACTCAGGAGGCTGAGGCAGGAGAATCGCTTGAACCTGGGAGACAGAGGTTGCAGTGAGCCAAGATCACACCATTGCACTCCAGCCTGGGCAAAAAGAGTAAAACTCCATCTCGAAAAACCAAAAGAAAAAAAAATCCCATATTTTGAAAAATACAGTAATTAGAAGAATACAATTTATTCCATGATGTCACTCAAATATCAATCAACTACATATTAGTTTTAAAAGCTTTAAAAGAAAAAACCTATAAAAACACATAAAAAATATACATTTAATAAGTCCTACTTGGAGTTTAAATCACCTTTTCCCCTTTCAGTTTCAAATAACTAGACTCTTCCTGAAGTCAATCCCAACCAAAACCCATGCTGATAAGCCAGTAATATTATAGTCAGTTAACGTTAAGGTGCTTCACTAACTAATCTCTCACTTAAAACTGGCATCTGCAAGGCACAGCGTCTCACATCTATAATCTCAGCACTGTGGGAGGTCAAGCAGGGAGAATCGAAGCTATGAATTTGGAAGTTAATTCCAGTTATATTCATTAGCTATAGGACTTTGGACAAATTACCTATCTTCTGATTGTGTTTATTCATCATAAAAATGGGCATAATTCCTACCTCAAAAGATTTTTCTGAGGATGAGAGTGGCTACTTAATGTTCAAGAGAAGTTATTTCATCTTTCAACAACCTCTACCCACAAATAAGAGAAACGGTCACCAAAAGATCCCAAATTATTCTGCTTTTAAGGTATAACCATACTGGGAATCTTAAAGGTATTATAGTTAAAGACCTTCAACCTTTCTGAGGTCATGAAGCATTCTGAATGTTGGGAAAAGGAAGGATAGCAGACATTTATAAATTGCTGCATATAATTTCAGTAAGTTCATGGACTCCTTGAAGACTCTATGGAGCTAAAGAAAAATTTTAAATCCCAAATTTAAAAAATAAAAAAAAATTAATGCTGGCTGGGTGTGGTGGCTCATGCCTGTAATCCCAGCACGTTGGGAGGCTGAGGAGGACAGATCATGAGGTCAGAAGTTTGAGACCAGCTTGACCTACATGGTGAAATCCCATCTCAACAAAAATTAGCCAGGCGTGGTGGTGTGAGCCTGTAATCCCAGCAACTCAGGAGGCTGAGGCAAGAGAATCGCTTGTACCCAGGAGGCAGAGGTTGCAGTGAGCAGAGATCATGCCACTGCACTCCAGACAGAGGGAGACTTCGTCTCAAAAAAAAAATAAAAATAAAAATAATAATAATAATGCTGTGAATCTGACCTATATCCACCTTAAAAATATACGTATGTAAATTTAAAAAGATTAAATAAACCTTCCCAGCTAAAAGTGGAAAGGAAGCAAAGCTCCACTGACTTGTATTCAATTGCAGATGCTGCCCACGGCTTCTACTTTGTCACCTTTGTCACCATAGGAACTTTCAGGAAACTTTTCTTTCCTCTTCACCATGATTTGCTCAAAATCAAACCATGATTGGCTTTAAGAAAAAGTCGGTGGCTCACGCCTATAATCCCAGCACTTTGGGAGGCCAAGGCGGGTGGATCACAAGGTCAAGAGATCAAGACCATCCTGGTCAACATGGTGAAACCCCGTCTCTACTGAAAATACAAAAATTAGCTGGGCATGGTGGAGCGGGCCTGTAATCCCAGCTACTCAGGAGGCTGAGGCAGGAGAATTGCCTGAACCCAGGAGGCGAAGGTTGCAGTGAGCCGAGATCGCGCCATTGCACTCCAGTCTGGGTAACAACAACAGCGAAACTCGGCCTCAAAAAAAAAACAACAAAAAAAAAAACAAACAAAAAAAAAAAAAAAAGAAAAAAAGAGTGCTCGCTTCGGCAGCACATATACTAAAATTGGAACGATACAAAGAAGATTAGCATGGCCCCTGCGCAAGGATGACACGCAAATTCGTGAAGCGTTCCATATTAAAAAAAAAAGAAAGAAAAGAAAAAGAAAGTCTAACCCTTGTTTTCAAATTAGTGATTTAACAAGGCAAGCTCATTTATTATTTAAATCTGAAGACCATGCTTCCGATTTTTGTTACTTCACTTCATGACTTCATGAGTCATTCAAACTTTTCCTTACATTCTAATTACTTTCAAAATGTAAACTACTGAATAAAAAACTGCCTACGTGAAATAAAGTTAGTTTAAAGTAAACAAAACAAAAAATTTGGAATTTAATAAATAATTCATTCTAGCTCTTGTCAAAATATATATATTTATATTCAAATGTATTAAGCACATAGTAGAAAGTTGTTTACATTTTCTTTCTACAATTGTTTACAAATTTGTTACAATTTTGAGTCTTACTGTTTACATTAATACATTGTAACTATTTAATAAAAAGTTAGTAAATATAATAACCTCACTTTCTGTAACAGGAATGAGAATGAAGACAATATTAATTACAAGCCACATACTGCTTGACACATAACAGATTTTAAAAAATAATCTGGCCGGGCGCAGTGGCTCACGCCTGTAATCCTAGCACTTTGGGAGGCCGAGACGCGTGGATCACAAGGTCAAGAGATTGAGACCATCCAGGTCAACATGGTGAAACCCCGTCTCTACTAAAAATTACAAAAAATTAGCTGGGCATGGTGGCGCGTGCCTGTAATCCCAGCTACTCAGGAGGCTGAGGCAGGAGAATTGCCTGAACCAAGGGGGTGGAGGTTGCGGTGAGCCGAGATTGCGCCATTGCACTCCAGCCTGGGTAACAAGAGCGAAACTCCGTCTCAAAAATAATAATAATAATAATAATCTTCCAGTTGAGCAAACCAATGAATGAGTAAATATGACTGAACAAGTAACAAAAGAAAAACATTATGACTAAGACTTTTAGACAATCCATATTCCAAATTTTCTGCTACTTTAACAAGCCAGACACTCTAAGTTTTCAGCTAAGTAAATGTGAAGTTAAGGAAAAATTATCAAAGACAATGTAAAGGTTTCCAGCTTGACATCAGACATAAATATGGATGCTAAGAAGCTATACAAAAATGAATGAATTACCTGAACAAAATCATACTGGTTATTTCTTTGAATCTTAATTGTTGAAACAAAAACCTGACTCAAACCTGCCAGTATGCAACTAAGTCCAAAACAAACTCCAAAACACAAGGAAGAAAAAAAAAAAAAAAAAAAAAAAAAATGCACACCTTTCACTATTTTTCAGATTTCAGATTTTTCAGTTTTTCAGATTTCAATAAAATCAAAATACCAAATAGGAATGAAAATACAGAAACAAAACTCCAGAGTCAATATAGTTTATCTTAACAGCTTTTTTTAAAAGCAAAGCCACATAACAAAGTTAAAAAAAACAGAATACCATAGTTGAGTAAAGAAATTACCTACGTTTACCCACCTGGTGCCTAAAAATTGAAACAGCAACCTCCAAATTGGAGAGAAGTTGAAAAAGTCAAGATGAGCTGGGCATGGGGGTGCACGCCTGTAATCCCAGCACTTTGGGAGGCCAAGGCAGGCAGATCATGAGGTCAAAGAGATCGAGATCATCCTGGCCAACATGGTGAAAACCTGTCTCTACTAAAAATACAAAAATTAGCGGGGTGTCGTGGCATGTGCCTGTAGTCCCAGCTATTCAGGAGGCTGAGGCAGGAGAATCCCTTGAACCCAGGAGGTGTATGCTGCAGTGATCCTAGACAGCACCCCTGCACTCCAGCCTGGTAACAGAGTGAGACTCTCTCTCAGAAAAAAAAGAAAAGAAATGAAAAAGAAAAGAGAAAGTCAAGATGGGAGCTAAATAAGTTAGAAATTCCAGACTGGTTAATAAATCTGGACATATAACTGCTAGTTTACATATTGTATCTCATTCAGAGACATAGGCAATCTACAAAAGTTATTTAAGAATTTGGGGGGGGGGTATATTGGAATCATCCTGCAAATACAATACACTTAGGCCAGTTACTTAAACCATCTTTGCTTTTGCATCACCTTATCTAAAACACAAAGAATGATACACCTACCTCAAAGGATTTACATGAGACGACACATGCATGTAAAACCTGGCACCTAGTTAACTGCTTAGTAGCTGTATTCCCAGTGGGACTGGAATTTATTACTGGGATTACACATATATGTTGTATAGTAAATATCTGTCCAATTAATGAAAAAGAAAATTCCATTAAGGAATCTGGAATGACTGTATAGTCATACAGGCAGACTAAAAAATAAAGTTCCAGTTTTTTGGAACATGTTCATTGTGCCAAAACAGGAATGACTTTAAGAATTTCATTCAAAAATACTAACTGCTACCACTTTGTTATACTCTGGTGCCATAGGAAATGGTTGTATGACAAGAGAGCCTTTAAAAGAGAATTGAAGGAGGTTTCTCTCAGTACATAATCACGATTTGGAAGGCAGAAGAAGTTGAGAGAATCAGTCCTCTTCTGATGCAGTCACCTATCCTACAAATCAAGAGTGCCCTAGGAAGAGCAGACCAATCTACAGATGACACTTTATCTCCCTGATTTACAAAGATAATGAATGGTGAAACATTAAGAAAGGTATCCTTGAGAGGGAACTGTGGGATGATGGGCAAGTCCATTATCTCGTTTTGCGTGGTGGTTATATAAGTATATACAATTGCCAAAACTAATAAAATCAAGCACTTAAGAATTATGCAGTTCATTCTATGCTAGTTACACCATTAAAAATTGGTTCATTTAAAAAGTGCTCCCTACTTTTCTCACTAGAAAATGTGATAATTTAAAAAGAGTAAAATCAAATCTATATTCATTATAAACTTAACTACAGGATGACCTGCCCTAACTAAAAAGATTTTGGATACCTTTGCAATGATAGGTGATGTAAAATAATTCTTGAAGATCACAGACTATTAGACTTCCTCATGTTCTAATTTTTGCAGAATCTAGGAATGAACATGCACTGTTTAGCCACATTTCTTTCACCTGTTGGTCAAAACTTTATGTTTAAGGTTTTCAGTAGGAAATTGATTGTTTCACTGGTTGTCTTGTGTTACGTTTGGAAGAAAAGGGCTTGGGAGAAAAATAGGACAGATATTACAGTATTCAACTAGAAATCCCAAAACCCAGATCCTAGCTCTAGGATTAAAATGTACAGGGCAACTGTGGACAAGACACTTGGATATTCTGTGCTTTTGATATTCTGGTATCACAGGGCTGTCATAAGACAAAGTGTATTAATTTGTGAAAATATCTTTTAAAGTCAAAGCAATATATTATTCTAACGTGGCACTGGTGACATGATACCATAGACATAGTCAAGCCCCAAACTTAATCCTAACGGTTGTAAAATTAGTTCCTGGAACACCCCCATACACATCTCATTTGAACTTAGAATGTTCAAGAGGGTGGAAGTAGGTTCCCCCCTCCAAAAAAAGGGGGTGAGTGATGTGTTTTCCATTATTGAACTTATCTTCCAAGAGACTTAGTATAAATTGGTGAATTTTGAAAGAGGAGTGGGGAATAAGGCCCAGATTAAGATAAATTCTTCCTGTGCCTAGTTTTGTCAACAATCAATGAGGAGATAAAACCGCTCCTGGGATTACAGGAAGCATGACTTCCAAAATATTGCTAAGCAATCAGCAAACATTTACTGTACTCTTTCACAATTTTTTGGCATACTCTCAAAAGCTCCCTCAAACTGCGTGCATCTCAGGAATGAGTGAGAGCAAGGCCTAGATGTCTTCAGACCATCCATCACAGCTCCCTCCCGCTTCCATTCCAGGTCCAGCGGAGCGGCCTCAGGCCATCACACCCTTCCCTGACCTCCCCCTCCCCAGGGCCGCCAGACTCACCAGCTGTTCCCGGCTGCTGGAGCTCCGATCGGTTGGCGCCCGGCGGCCCCGAACATTAACGACACCCAAGAGCCTGGCCACAGGCTCAGGCCCGTGAACAGACTCCAACTACTACAACACCGGCGACTTGCAAAATACAGTTCAGCATTTTGAGATGAACTTCCGGAAGCCGACTGAGGCCGAAACCGGATGCCTGGAGCAACCATTAGTTCTCCTCGCCTACTGCTTTCCCTTCCTATAATCCCCTCCTCATACTCGCAGTAGAGACAGAGACAAATAAATTAAACTTTTTGTGCTGCAAAGAAATTTCTTAGTTGTCTTTTTAGTACTCTTAAAGTCGAAATAGCGTCAGAGAAAAGAGCAGTGAGCAAACAATGGAACCCCCCCGGGAGTGAGCTATGGTTTAGCCCAGTTACCATGGACACCGGTAGGCACAGCAGTTGTAAGCCAAGGCCAAGAGACCATGGCCACTTTAGCCTGGCTGCAAGCTAGGTCGTTGACTGTAGGAAATGAGTACTACTTTAGGAACAGGTAAGTCAGAAAGAGAAGGATCGCGTAAAGGGCTGGCAGAACTTGCTATCAGTTGTTCCTCAGCGGGAGTTTCCAATTAACGATTTCCCTAATTCATTAAGTAACACCCAATTCTCCCCTTAATGGGCTGGAAACATAATCGTTTGTTTGTATTACCATACAACAAAATTCTAAATAGATAGGGGCCATAGATACTCAGTGTGAGAGGATTTAGGGAAACCCTCAGCATAGATAAAATTGTAAAGTGTTTTTCTTCGATATCACCACTCTGTGATTTGATGAAACCTATGTTCTTCGGGTTCAAGGTTCAATACCCTGACTGGGGTTCACCCTGGCTCACTAGCCCACTGGTTTCCGACTGCTCCCCATCTACCTAAGGATTTGAGCCTCCAGGATTTCACAAACGTCACTGAACTCAATTGTTCTTTGACTCATTTGCCTTTTTAAAATGAAAGTATCAGGCCGGGCGCGGTGGCTCAAGCCTGTAATCCCAGCACTTTGGGAGGCCGAGGCGGGTGGATCACGACGAGTTCAACAGATCGAGACCATCCTGGAAACCCCGTCTCTACTAAAAATACAAAAAATGAGCCGAGCGCGGTGGCTCAAGCCTGTAATCCCTGCACTTTGGGAGGCCGAGGCGGGTGGATCACGAGGTCAACAGATTGAGACCATCCTGGTCAACATGGTGAAACCCCGTCTCTACTAAAAATACAAAAAATTAGCTGGGCACGGTGGCGCGTGCCTGTAATCCCAGCTACTCAGGAGGCTGAGGCAGGAGAATTGCCTGAACCCAGGAGGCGGAGGTTGTGGTGAGCCGAGATCGCGCCATTGCACTCCAGCCTGGGTAACAAAAGCAAAACTCCGTCTCAAAAAAAAGAAAGAAAAAAAAAATACAAAAAATGAGCAGGGCATGGTGGCACGTGCCTGTAGTCCCAGCTACTTGGGAGGCTGAGGCAGGAGAATTGCTTGAACCCAGGAGGCGGAGGTTGCAGTGAGCCGAGATCGCGCCATCGCACTCCAGCCTGGGTAACAAGAGCGAAACTCCGTCTGAAAAATAAATAAATAAATAAATAAAAATAAAATAAAATGAAAGTATCCTGGAGTGGTGGCTCATGCCTGTAATCCCAACACTTAGGGAGGCTGAGGCGGGCGAATCACCCGAGGCCAGGAATTCGAGACCTACGTGGCCAACATGGTAAAATCCCGTTTCTACTAAAAATATAAAAATTAACGGAGCTTGGTGGCACATGCCTGTAATCCCAGCTACTGGGGAGGCTAAGGCAGGCGAATCGCTTGAACCTGGGTGGCAGAGGTTGCAGTGAGCCGAGATTGCACTACTGCACTCCAGCCTGGGTGACAAATCAAGATCCTGTCTCAAAAATAAATTAAATAAAATAAAAGTATCTAAACCATTCTGAAAAGATAATTAGTACTAACATATTAATAGACGATGGGTAAGAAAACCACTAGCAGCTTTCTTCTTCTGCCTACACCCAAACTTCTTGCATAAGAAGAGGTTCATTTTTTTTTTTTTTTTTTTTTTTTTCGAGACGGAGTTTCGCTCCTGTTACGCAGGCTGGAGTGCAATGGTGCGATCTCGGCTCACGGCAACCTCCGCCTCCTGGGTTCAAGCAATTCTCCTGCCTCAGCATCCCAAGTAGCTGGGACTACAGGCCCGCGCCACCATGCCCAGCTAATTTTTGTATTTTTAGTAGAGATGGGGTTTCACCATGTTGACCCGGATGGTCTCGATCTCTTGACTTCGTGATCCACCCGCCTTGGCCTCCCAAAGTGCTGGGATTATAGGCGTGAGCCACCGCGCCCGGCCAGAAGAGGTTCATTTTAAAGAAGCATTGCCCCAAGAGTTTTTGTAACTTAAGAGAAACTGCAAAGAAGTAGATTAGACTATTAGAGAATATAGTGACATGACAGACCAATGGAAAATACATTAATAAGATAGGGTCTTGCTGGGCTGTTTTTATTCTAATGTTTATCTTGCCTACCACATTATTATTTCACAATGTACCTCTCTTACAGCACTGATCACAATTCAATTTTACATTATTTTATGACATAATATCTATCTCCCCTCTAAACGAGTAGCAGAGACAGTGTCTTTTATTTCGCTCACCATTATTTTTGTCTCCAATGTCTATCATACAATAATAGTAACACAATGATTGTTGAAGAATCACATTAAGGACTCTTTCAATAAATCACTTATCCTGGTTTAAACATACTAACAATAGCTAAACATAGAAATTATAGAAATTACCTATTTATTTAGAGTATGTGGCAAGTGCTGTATTTATAACATATATAGGTGAAATAAGCCCCATCCATCATGATGTTCACATCCTTGTATGGAATATAGGCATTTAAAAAATAATTACAATAGTGGCTGGGTTTGGTGGCTTACCTCTGTAGTCCCAGCACTTGAGGAGGCTGAGGCAGATGGATCGCTTGAGGGCAGGAGTTTGAGACCATCCTGGCCAACATGGCAAAATATCTCTACTGAAAATAAAAAAATTAGCCAAGCATGGTGGTGCATCTGTAGTCCCAGCTACTCTGGAGGCTGAGGCAAGAGAATCACTTGAACCCAGGAGGCAGAGGGTGCGGTGAGCCAAGATCACACCACTGCATGCCAGCCTGGTCAACAGAGCAAGACTCTGTCTCAAAAAATAAAATAATAATAATAATAGTAACAACAAAAATAGAGTAACATGGAGGGGAAGGAAAACAACCAGTATTTCTTGAGGACTGATGATATATGAGGGATTGCACTAGGAACTACCTCATAGGATGTTTCATTTGGTTTTCACAATGTTGCAAGTTAATGTAGAAGTTACCTATTTATTAGATAATCTATATTTTTAGAGCTATAGAACAGTGTTCCAGAAAAGCCTGTTGAATTGTCAAGTAATCGCAAATAATCAGCCAGGCACAGTAGCTCAGGCCTGTAATCCCAGCATGCTAGGAGGCCAAGGCGGGTGGATGGCTTGAGGTCAGTTATGAATTAGCAGAGCCAACTAATCTAACTCTAAAACCTCTGCTGTTCACTATCTCTAAACAAAATTTTCTTCCCATTAAGCTGATGTGATTAAATCGCAACAAGCACCAAGATCCAGAAGTCTAAATGGCCTAAGTGTACTCTTCCAAATCCATTGACTTGTAGGGAACAGAGTTGTAGGAAACAATTTAAATTCTCCTTGGTTTCTTTCAATGTCTTCTGTTTTGGGCAACAAGGTAGGGACAAAAATGCTTCTTCCTAAGGCTATCATCAGAATAACACTGCAGTTGAAAGATGACTTTGTTGAAAAAATATATTCCTAAGGGGTTAGGTTAGTAACTGAGTCATCCAAGGCCTAGAAGTCCAATGTGGAAAAGGGAAGCTCCTCTGCCCAACAAAGAGGAAGGATCTGGAACTCCAAGAAGTGAGCAGCAAATACAGGAGGAGATTATAAACTACAGAGAATAGGAGACATGTGGGTTGCCCAACTGACTCGAATCCTCTGGAAAGTTGCTCCTGCAAAGAATGTTTGATGTGTATTTTTGTTTTAGCCTGTCCATCAGAGAGACAGAATATTTTGTCCTGGGCATAAGGGGAACAATAGATAGTGGGCAGTTGTTGTAACTGCCCAATGGATTCACCTTGCCCGCTGCTTAGACGGAGCTGATTTATCAAGATAGAGGAATTGCAATAGAGAAAGAGTAATTCACACAGAATCAATTGTGCAGGAGACTGGAGTTTTATTCTTACTCAAATCAGTCTTCCTGAGCATTAGGGGATCAGAGTTTTTAAGGATGATTTGGTGGGTTGGGGGAGGCCAGTGAATCAGGAGTACTGATTGGTTGGGTCAGAGATGAAGTCATAGAGGGTGGAATATGTCTTATTGCACTGAGTCAATTCTGAGGTGGGGGCCACAAGATCAGAGTCAGTTTATCAGTCTGGGTGGTGCCAGCGGATCCATCAAGTGCAGCATCTGCAAAATATCTCTAGCACTGACCTTAGGTTTTACAATAGTGATGTTAGCCCCAGGAGCAATTTAGGGAGGTTCAGAATCTTGTAGCCTCCAGGTGCATGACTCCCCAGACCATAGTTTTTTTTTTCTTTACAACAGAGTCTTACTCTGTCACCCAGGCTGGAGTGCAATGGTGCAATCTCGGCTTACTGCAACCTCTGCCTCCCAGGTTTGAGCAATTCTCCTGCCTCAGCCTCCCAAGTAGCTGGTATTACAGGCACCTGCCACCATGCCCGGCTAATTTTTGTATTTTTAGTAGAGGTGGGATTTCACCATGTTGGCCCGGCTGGTCTGGAACTCCTGACCTCAGGTAATCCACCTGCCTTGGCCTCACAAAGTGTTGGGATGACAGGTGCAAACCACCACTTCTGGCTCCAAACCATAATTTCTATCTTTTAGCTAATTTGTTATTCCTACAAAGACTGTCTAGTCCCCAAGCAAGAAGTGGGATTTTTCATTGGGAAAGGCCTGTTATCTTTGTCTTAAACTATAAACTACATTTCTTGCTGAGTTAGTTCAGCCTACATCCGGGAATGAACTAAGACAGCTCGGAGGTTAGACGCAAGGTGGAGCGGGTTAGGTCAGATCTCTGTCACTGTCTTCAGCTACAGTTTGGCAGTGCTGGTTCCATTGTCCCCTGACAATGGCCTTTTTGTTGTTGTTATTTTAACTTTCTCTAGTAATTCTTAGCTTCATTTCTGTTCTTTTGAACCATGAGATTTTCTTTGTGACTTATTGGTCATTTATATTATGCTTTACACTATACTATACTTTGTGGAGAGAAGAGTTCGGTATACGTTTATTGGTTGTATTGTTCATTTTCCCCATATTCTTATTTAAATTTCGTCTAATCTGCCAAATTCCAATAGGAATGAGTTAAAGTATTTCTCTTACACTGTGTTTCTATAGTATGGGTGAGCCCCAAATATCTGAGACAGGCTTCAGTCAGTTTAGAAAGTTTATTTGCCAAGCTTAAGG